GAGTCAGTCTTGCAGTGGCATCCATGCATCGATATTTTTCGCGGGAAGCTTCTGGTCGGGTCATGCGAGCCTCTGTTGCCCAAGAATCAGATATTTTAACGTGCCGCAGAAGCATCGACACCCTCTGGTTCATAATGTCATCGGCGCTTCTTGTTCTTGTTATTGTTCATCTCGTTGTTTCTTCTAATCTTCCTGCGTGACAGCGCAACAAGCCGGCCCCCAACACTTCACACGCCGAGAATCCCCTAAAGTAAAAAAGTTCCCCAACATAAACACAAGGGTTTAGGGTTCACGGGATAATGAGTTAGATTGATTCTGGAATATGTTATATTAGACAGGCCGACAAGCCAGTAATAGCGGGCAGTGCTGCAAAACCCGGTGTGAGAGGAAAAGATCAGAGCTTCACGTCCTGAGAAACCAACTACCCAGATTTTGGAGGCCTTCCAGAGTTTAGGACCTACAGTATAGGATAAGCCAAGTAATGCGGTAAGGCACTGAGAAGAAAGAAGACAGAAGCAACAACCGAAATGATTGCACAGCGCGATAGTATTGGTCCTCGTCGTAGCGTCAGCAGGGCAGTCAATTTAGTACAGCAGTCATATCGCCGGGCATCCTGTCGTAACCTCTTTCCAAATGAGCAGCCTTACCGAGGAGACGCCGGCAGTTGAGAACATTGTGCAACATAAACCTTTAGCCCCAAACCCGGAATCCAAAACCCTCAGCATTTACATCCCCAGGTCCGCATAAACCAGCCTTCAATCAGGCCCTTGGGGAGGCGTCCGACGAGGTGGAGCCGTGCCGAAGTCTCGTGTAGTCTTTGCAAGTTTTGTGGACCTAATAAGCAAGAGACCACGATAGAATTGGCGGTAGAATTGTCCTTTGTAGCACATATAAATGCATTTCTAGTATGAGAGCTATATCTTGACGTTCTATTGTACTCATGAAGGCCCTATACTAAACGTACGGGTCTTGAGATTGAAGGTTTTGGGAGTTCCTCCCAATAGAGTTCACGCTTGTTTGTTTGGTCTTTCGGTGCCTTGGTGTTTGGCGGCCTGAGTTTACGAGCCAGGGATCCTCATGGCCACGGTTTCGAGTTTCGGGAAGCTACCTAGGATCTCTGAACCCCAAAAGCAAACCGACGAATTCGTCGTGACGCAAACGAAGTAAGGTTTCGATTAGTTTTCAAAGGCCCGGCCAACAACAGTGGATTTAGCAACCTTACAGCTTAACTCCAGGTGGAGGAGTGGGTGACGAACCTGAACAGCACGTTTGCTGACAAAGCCTGCGCCTTCGGTGATGCACGGACCCCAGGACGATCGATGGCCCTCAGCCCGGAGCAGGATTCATGAGAGCGTCCGGACTTCGGTTGCCATAAACGTTGTTCCAGGTGCAAAGGTGGTAGGAGCGGAAGCTTCTGACTTGTTCAACATCTTACTCCCCACTTCTTGCTTTCATCCTGGTTGGTTTCCCAACTTGGAGCTTGAGTCGCCTCTCACACGTGTGCTCAGCCCCACCCCGCACACTCCAGGTGCGGATGCTACGCTTGAAGCACCATCGATGCCAGCTTTCAAGTGCACATTCTCGTTTACGACCATCACACCCCCTGATCTGATCCAGAAAACATATCAAAGGCGAAACTTGCGGACCCTATATGCTGCTAAACCCTAAACTGGCCCTAAACCCTAAACCCTAAATCACCTAATACCCTAATACCCGAATACCCGAATACCCTAAACCCTAAATCTTACCCCAAAGCTCGCCTGAAACCCGGAGATCCAAGACTTGAAAGCACCCGGCCTACCCCCTTCAAGACTCTGCACCCTAAACTCTAGCCGCTGGAAAACCACGAACCCTATAGAGCCTAAGCCCCTAAACCCCGAACCCTAAACCGTATAAACCCTAGACCCTAAACCCTTCTAAACCCCGAACCCTATAACCTATAAGCTCTATAGACCCTAAACCCTTCTAAACCCCGAACCCCCAGTCCGACTTTCCTTGGAGGCTCTGTCCGCCATCCGGGCGAAGATCCCCGCCAAGAAGCAGCTCGAGGAGGCGTCCGAAGTCTAGCTGTAGTCTCCATTGTAGTTCCTTTTTTTGGTTTGGTTAGGGTTTATAGGGTTTAGGTTTCGGGGTTTATAAGGGTTTAGGGTCTATAGGGTTTATAGGTTTTAGGGTTCGGGGTTTAGGGGTTTAGGGTCTATGGGGTTCAAGGTTTTCCAGCGGCTACCTGTAGTCTCCATTGTAGTTCCTTTTGGGGGATACCTTATAAAATCCTTAATATATAATTGGTTAAACCAAAAAAAGGAACTACAATGGAGACTATAGGTACTGATGGGTTGGGAATATGCGTAGGTCTCCAAATTAGGGTCCCTTTTCTGGGCTCCTTAAAAGGATCTATAAGGGCTCTATAGGGTTTCTATAAGGTAGTATTTGGGCAGTTCCCTAAACTAGGGTCCCTTTGGGGTCCTTTTTTATAAGGGCGCCGTACTATATTGGGACTGAAAAAGGAGTTTAGAGAGCTCCTGCATTCATTCATTCACGGCAGGTCTCTCAGTCAGTGTTGAGTAATGCCTGAGCAGGAGGCGGCGTACGGCCTCAGTAAGCACTCAAA